TGGTCGGCAGTGTAGTGACTGGTCGGCTGTGTAGTGACTGGGGTTGTAAAATTCCGGGAATTTTCAAAGATGGAAACTTTCCATGGGAATAAACGGGAATTTATGGGAATTTTCCAAATTGAAGGTTGGCACTTCATAGGGAACTTAAATATAGTTGGGGAAAGTATATTTTAGCATAATCTTCACTAAAACAAACAGATGCCATTCAAGTACACTTGAATATCCATGCCATAGCACACTGCTTACTGCATGGCTATTGGGACCACACCCCCTACAGGCACTGTGCATTCCTCCATGTTTTCGTTCTTCAATGAAACAAATAATTGTTCAATAAAATAATTAAAACTTGTTCTGTTCTACTTAACAACAATGAAAATTAAAAGAAATCTGTTGAAATGTCATGTTTTTGTTAATTTTGCATAGAATATTTCCAAAATTCCCCAGCTTAACTTAAATGTTCCGCCCCTTTGCAACCCTAGTAGTGACTGGTCGGCTGTGTAGTGACTGGTCGGCTGTCTAGTGACTGGTCGGCTGTGTAGTGACTGGTCGGCCGCGTAGTGACTGGTCGGCTGTCTAGTGACTGGTCGGCTGCGTAGTGACTGGTCAACCGCTTAGAGATGTCCCGCCCCTTAGCCTATTACTCAATGTCTGTTGGAGTGTTAGCCAATAGACAATCCTTTGTGCCTATAGCCATTAGGCTGCACAACAATGGGTCACAAGTACTGGACATAAAATACACACTGTTTTCACACATACATGTCAATATATCTAATGTGTATATATGTTCATTTTAATAAATTTCTTATTTTAAAGTTAATGTATATCATTTAATTTTTATCTTTGATTTTGTCTTGTGTTTTTCATTCTCACCCTGTTTCTTTTTGAATTACTGAATTTCCCCACAGGAATGAATAAAGGTCCATCTTATCTTATCTTAGAAGTGCAAATGTTAAGTAGTGATGTCATTATGTTACAGAAGTTAAAAGGGACTCTTTAAGTAAACGTTTTTAACTGGTGTTTTTTATTACAGATCAGAGGACGTTCCACAACATTTCCGCCAGCGCAGTGGCAGCCTAGAGTCCCAGTCTCAGCTGACGGAGGCCGAGCCCCCCGTGCCGACCTTCAGCTTCACCCCCGCCCGACGCAGCAACAGCACCGAGATCCTCGACGATGGCTCCTCCTACACCAGCCAGTCCAGCGTGGAGTACAGCGTCCCCGGCAACCACACGAACAGGCGCAGAGCTCGCGGCCGCCACAGAAAAGACATGTACGCCAACACGGGTAGCATGCCCAACCTGGCTCAGCCTGACAATCGCCATGCCAACCAACCGCGAGCCAGACCCACCACCACGGCCTACTATGTGACGGGTTACCCCAGCTACCCAGAACCAGAGCCTTACGCTAACGGAGTGTACATGTACGACAACGAGATGGAGGGACACTACACCGTCAATCCTTCGTACCACCCAACACAGCCAACTTATCACAGCCACGAAGTGCACGGTCACTACGGGCACGACGAGATGGACGGCATGTCGCAGAACCCGTACGCCACTTTGCGCCCGCCCAGGAATCGACAGGTCCCCCGCGGCAACGAGCAGCCCGTCAAGAACTTCCAGAAAGCCATCGTGGCAGAACATTTGAGAGGCTGGTACCAACGCAACGCACAACAACCACAACAACCACAACAACAACCTGCGTACGGAAACTACGACTACGACAGAGGCTCGCAGCACAGCCTGGGCTATCAGACCATGCCTTCAGCCCAGAGCCACAACCACAGGAACATCGCCTACTCCTCAGGTGAGATCACCGCGCCGTGTGTTATGGATTCCAGCTGGATCACCCGATACATCAGATATACATTATTGGACCATGTTGAGTAAAAACAAAACAAATGGTAGATTAGAATTAGTGCTTTGTAGTTGCTGAGCAGCTGAAGAAACCACCAACATTTACTTTTGAGATACTTTATTCAATATACTAAGTGTTGACACGGCCACGAACGCACCCCTATTTTATTATTTGATCACGCTGCATTGTGGACAATTATGTGTTTAAAAAAAACTGCAGGATTCAAGCTAGTTAACTTGAGATGATTTGTTCAAGCTCTATTTAGTTCAAATCTGGTTAATTATCAATTTTGTCTTAATGTGTTGAAATGTTATCTTGTAAATTTCTGTTTTAGGCAAGAATAAATAGTTGTTTGTATAAAATATTATCGATATCAAATCGATATTAGAGAGGGAACTATGCCCTGTTATTTCCTTATGATTCCTATGTCTATCTTTGCATATAACTATTAATAGATGGCAATAACAATTTAAAAGAATAACATTTCAACGGTCTATACTGACGAATGTTGTGTTAAAACGTTAGTCTGGAGCCTGATATAACAGCTGCTATAACGAGACAAATCAAAACGGAAACAATCACAGAAACGTCTTCAGGGAATCTCTAGTCTCCTGCATTGTGCTGTCGACCCTGTTTCCACATGAATGTCAGATGCTGACTCGTACCATTTTTGTCTCCAGTGTCCTCGGCGTCCTTGAGTGGAAACTGGCACGGTCACATGAGTGTTGGTAGTGCCATGTCAGAATACGACATGCCCGCGCACGCACCGCAGTCCTACTCCTACAGCACGGCGCCCTACAGCCACTCCGCCCACAGCAGGTGAGACAGAAGAAACTTGGCTTTAACTCAGCGTCTTATCCAATAAGCCACTCCCTGATCCTCCTGATCCCCACGGCTAACACTACTGTTCATTACCCAGAATGGCTGTTTACAGAACAAAATAAGCTGCTTTATGTTTTTTTGAACAACAATGATGTGCTCTGATGTGTAGCCAATGGGACCATTTCTTCACTTTAAGATGGAAAAAACAACCTTGTGGTTACAAGCGAGGTTCATCTGAGGATTATCAGATCTGTGCACTCAGTTCCTCTGAGCTTAAGACGTCTTCTCCTCCCTAACTATCCACCGGCCCTGCTTTCTTATAGATATGGCGCCTCCCAGCTTTTAAAAGGCTCCTGGCTCAGCCCCGAAGGCCAGAGGCGCTGTGCCCTTTCCCCTGCTAGCTCTTCCTCTCCGCCCTCTTCCTCCTATCCCTCCTCTTCCTCCTGCTCCTACTCCCCCGGGTGTCGGGAGAGGCAGCTTTCCTCCAGCCCTTCACGACCAAACTCCTCCAGAGGGCACAGGCTCAGTAAGGTGTCCTTTGCTAAAGGTAGTTCATAGTAAGTAGACGGAAACGCCCGGAGCCTGCGCGTCGTTCACTTTGTCTGCAACGTGACTCCATAGTCTTGCTTGTCCTTGTTTTGAAGTGTGTTTGACTGATCGCTCATTGTCATGTTTGATAAGGTAACTGCATGGCTTCTTTATAAAAAAAACATGCCTGCCTTACTTCCTCTTCCAGCCGGCTTTTGTTGTCACAGTGGTCACATTTCTCTCAACAGTTTGCCTTCCTCTCGGCCCACACATTGCATACATGGCTTTTAGTTCTAGTTCTATTCATCTTAGCTATTGCCTTCCTCTCACTCCCCTGCCTCATGCGGGCAAACCGCCTAGGAGCTTTGTCATTCTTTAACTATCATTTCATTGATTTTAGCTGACGCCTTTATCCAAAGAGATGTACGATACGATAAGTTAGGGCTGTGCCTTTATGGCAAAAATCATAATCACGATTATTTTGGTCAATAATTGATATCACGATTATCCATTTACTTTGAAAACATCCATTTCTTCAAAAAAAAAAAGTAACAGTATGTTTTTAACAGTTGATTACCGTGAACTTTAAGTATAACTCAACTGAAAAACCAATAAAAAAAAAAACTTATTTTTTATTTTTTATAAAAATAATTATAGTTTTATTTCGATTACGTTGTTTTCGTAATCGTTGCAAGCCAAAATCGTAATCGAGATTAAAATACGATTAATTGCACAGCCTTACGATAAATGCAAATAAAGCATAAGATTCAAACTAAGGACAAGAACAAGTCCTGAAATATTCACTTCAAACAAGGTTGTTCTGTACTGCTGCACAAGTTCAACTCTTAGGTAAAGCGAAACAGGTGGGTCTTCAGTTTGCAATGGAAGATAAGTAGTCCCTCCACTGTCCTGATATCAGTGGGAAGCTGTTTTCCCAGAGCTGTGTACAGTTATGACCCAGATAGTTGAGTCGGCTTGCCCAAAACATTCATAAAACATTCTTCAGATAATACCAGGACAAACAGTGTCAGAGAGCAGTGAGGACATCTTGGCGTCCATCTTATCAGGTGGATAGCTCCCATCACTCCCTGCTGGGAACAGAGCCTGCTTTGACTGGTTATCAAATGTTGATTATTCTCTTAGAACTAGCTAAATACTCTGGGACTGGGTGAGAGAGCTTTTTTCACAATTGGTTGGAGCTGTATCACTTCTTTGCTGCTAATGTCTTTTCTCAATGTTCTGGCCACAACTTCCAATGATTGTTCAGTGTCTGACATCAGTTCGAGCTCTCCAGTGTTTCGCCTTGTGTTCCAAAAAGTTTCATTACACCGCTCACCCTTGACCTTTGCCCCCTCTCATGCGCAGATGTCCCCCAGAGTTTGAGAGGCGGAGCCGTGGTAGGATGGCGTTCCCTGCACGGCCTTTAGAGTGGCGTGGTGATGTTGCCTATGCTACCAAACAAGAGAAATAACCCCCCCCCCTGTCCCCTCCCATTATCAGTCCCAGCACAGCAGAAAGGGTGAGAGACGAGAGTGTGAAAACTCCCCCTCATGGTGACGGTTGTGTGTTTTTTTGGATATCTGTGGCAGTGTGGCAGGGACTAACAGAAATCATCTCACATTTCAGATTTGCTGTGTTTCCCTGGGTGTTTTGTGGTGGTGGGAGAGCACTTGTGTGGCAGAGGAGGAACATGTGACCCCTGAAATCCAAAGGCTATGCTTGTGTTCAATGCCTGCGTGCATCTGCTCTGCTGTACGGTGAGAATGATTGACCCTGGGTTTGACATCTGTCTGAAACTGAGATTGATGACAACACGCCTGACACAAACCAGAGTGCGTCTTATTTCTCTTAGTTTAGTGTCCTGTAGACAGAACATAATCAACAACTATTTCGGTTTGATTAGTCCTTCAATCTTCCACTAAAATGGCAGAAAATATCTCGAATACAAAGATGTCTTGCTTGTCTCAGTTCTGTATCACAGTAAAGTGAATATACTTGGGTATCGAATTGAAAAAACAAGACATTTCTTGGACTTTGAGATGAGCATTTTTCACAATTTTCTGACATTTTATTGAACATTCGATTAATCCTTAAAATAAAAGGCAGATTTTTTGACAGTTGAAACAATTTGTTGCAGCTCTAGTTTCTTAATCTCGAACTTAAAAGCTAAAAATAAAATCGGACAATGTTGACAGCCCAGGGTCAATCCATTCTTAACCAATCACAATCGACATTCCCTTTTCCATCTGTCTCATGTGTTTCATCTTGTCTGTTTCTTCCAGGTCCTACATAGATGTCAACCAAATGGACCCGCACGTCAGTGACCAAATGCACACGAACCCAGAGCTGGACGATAAGATACACTGGCACGAAGATTCAAAACCGGGAACAATAGTGTAATCGCCGTCTGTCATCATCGTTTGAATTCATACACCTTGACAAGCTGTCATTGTGCCTTAGACTGCACTTACCTGTTTTTCTCTGTACGCGAGGATCCAAAGAATGAAGGAACTTAACTTTCGTGAGAGTAAAGGAATCTGTTGCCAAACTGACCCACAACGCTGTGATCGTACCGAACAAAAAAGCCCACGGGAGCGTCTTCGTGTCTCTATGGGAGTGCTTGTGGTGATGATGATGCACTGAAACTGTACCAGGACCTGCTGTGGACTGTGTGGTGGAGACAAAGGGAAAGTGGATTTCACAAAGCGAGGATTACTGAGCCGCTGCGAACAACCCTCCGCCACACACATGTATGAACACTGTAACCATGAAGGATCGGACAAGGAGCGATAAGGACATTATCAAAAAAATGAAGGATTGAATGAGTCAAAAGGTGATGGCTACTTCCTGGAACACTCTGCAGAGCCAGTTGTATTGTAGCTTGTTACTAACACCCACCATACTCTTTGTTTGTCATTTCCAAAGTATTCTCACTGTCAGTACTTACAATACAAATGAGCCAAATACTTGTCACCATTCTGAGTATTACCCACACTTAAATATCACTGCCACATCTGATCAGTCACTGCAGGAAGACTTTTTTTATTTGAACATGGTTATTTTCATCCATGCTGGAAATCATGGACTGGTGCTCCTAATTTCTCTCAAGAGAATGAAGCCGTATGTAAATGTTGGTTTTGTAAATACACTGGTTCCGTCTTTTTTTAGAGCATTTGTATGTATTTGAAAAGCATGTAATATATAGTGAAAACAATGGTTGTTAAGCTGGTTCTTAGTCATTTGTACAATTGCATTTGTTTGAATAAAAAAAATCAGCATTTAGATCAGTTCAGTCTCTCTTCAGTCATATTTATAAAATATATACTTCGCCCGCAAGATTACCATTTGTTTTTCAGAGACAAAAAAAAAACGGTTTTTTTCATAAACGAAGAATCAAACTGGAAGAAAATTCAGTGTAGTTAAGTAAAACTATATGAAAGCATCTTTTTACAAACTCTCACAACTTGTGCAATTGTTTACACTTCTGCATAAAAAGCATTACGCTTGCAAAGGCGCGCCATTCGTTTTATCATGTGAGGTTTTAGTGAAAATGCACGTGTTACCAAGCACAGGCCTGAATAAAGGAGACTTGTGAAATACTGAAGTCTTTGTGAGAGTTTGATGTTTTGACAGTTTTACTTTTGTCAAAAATTATAAGATTTACCTCAAATCCCCAGGAATTTGTTTCTGATGTTGGATACTTAATTTGACGTGCAGGCATTAGATTTCTTTAGGTATCGAAGGACACTCATGAGGAGTATATGATCAAACAAATGGTAATTTAATCCTCCTATTGTCTTCGTTTTCCCCCCCTTACTTTGGTGTTCGCGGTCAAATTTGACCGGTCCTGTTTTAACTGCTATTACATTAACACAAAAACCATTAATCATCACCACATTTAATTGAACACCCTTTCAAACTGTAAATATTGTATCAGACTACTGGTATACATGAAAAACTGTAGTAAATATACAAAGAATAGACACTGAACATGTATTGCGTGTGCCAGGTTTGATCCATGTGGGGGGATGGGCACATAAGAGCGGGAAATGTATCAAATTGTGTGCGTGTGTGTGTGTGTGTGTGTGTGTGTGTGTGTGTGTGTGTGTGTGTGTGAGTGAGTGTGTGAGTGTGTGTGTGTGTGTGTGTGTGTGTGTGTGTGTGTGTGTGTGTGTGTGTGTGTGTGCTGCATGCCCAACAGGTGTGTCTTCTCAGTGTTTGACAGAAACCAGTAGAGGAAAACAACAACACTAGTTAGTATTAGTTATTGGTGTTTTTGTGTGAACCCTTGTCGTTTTGAAACATCATAATTACTTCAAAGGTAATGTTCAGTGAGGCGGTATGAGTCAGTGACACAAAAGCAAACCTGTGTACAGTTTCTGCGCTAGTTGCTAGCACTTGCAACATCTGTGTCATGTTTGGGTTCCACCACACATAGGCGTGGGGCATTACATTACATTTAGTGACTTACAAAAAGTGCAATCAACCATGAAGATTAACAACGAGAAATTCTGCAAGTACATTGGCTTTCAATAAGGCCAAACAATCTCAAGCGCGAGTGCATTAGCTTCAAAAAGGCTAAAGTGCATGTGTGGTCACTGGCTCCAGCTAGTGGTTGGATGGAACATTGTACCTGTTAGTATCACAGACATTATGCATACCAGGACAGGAACAAAGATACAGTAAATATACTCTTAATGCAATTCATTAATTTCAGCCCTGAAAACCCTTACACTGTTTAATTGTTTTCCTCAATTGTAAAATGCACAGCTGCATTAATTTACCTGTGACACAAAATAATAAAAAATTGAAATGATCCATATATTGTAGAACAGTATATATATATATATATTGCGCCAAAGAGTCATTTACATAAGGAAATACATCTTAACCAACATCAAATCCACTGTCCACTTTACAGGTGAGATCATTAACTCGTCAGTGCCCTCTGGTGGACGAACTACGTAACAACCATCACATTTTTAAATCACCTGAAAAATATCTTTCTTGTTACTAATGGTCATCATCACATATTTGTTTATATCAACTTATCTGTTATAGGCTAAGCTATAAAAAAACAATATATTCTTCACTGAAGAATCTTCAGTAGTCTATCCAATGTAAGAAAGTTACTACATTTCTGAAAATCTCCAGACATCGTAAATAAACAAAAAATAAGGATAGCTTAGCATTAGCCTTTTCCACCAGTCCTGCTAGAAATGCTAGCCCCTTGTATTCATGCTAAATATTTGCTTCCTGTATGTGTTTAAAACATTTTCCTGAGTCTGTAATTCAGTTGAGCAATCGTGCCTCCTTGCATGTGACTTTATATTTTAATTTCGATTCAACACAAGTTTTACCCTCCGCCTCCGCATATCTCATACACATCTCTCACACACCCACACTAACACAGTGAATGTCCCAACCAGGGAACATTGCTTTCTATGTTTTAACTGTGTAAAAAACAAATGTAATGTGTCAGTCAAAGTCCATCTTTGCTTAGGATGATGACTCAGAATTTACTAAATTATCCAATACTGTGTGATCTCCTTAATCTGGGGTTCAGCTGTTTAAGGCGCTGTTTTCCCACCACTGTGCTTCTGCAAACGCTGACTAGACAAACCTTATGAGGCCTTCAGGACTAAAACACCTATATTTCAACACACAGGTCAGCAGACAGACCATGACGGGGCAGCTATTCTTAGTATATTAGGCTTTGGTTGTTGGAACAAAGTGGTGCCAACTATGAGAAGATATTTCCCCAGATGAGAGATTTAACCACTTGTTTCCTGATCTGAGTAAATCTGTCTTCCTCCTTGGATAATAAACTAGTTCTTCAGGAAGTGTGCAGCAGTCTAGATTGAGTGTTCATACTTTTAAGGGACAACTCAAGACACTTATATATACAGTCAATGCTCAAGACCCACTGTTTTTAATTGGCTTTTAACTGAAATATATGCTTTATTCTGTCATGTGTTCGTTGACTTCTGTTGGTATAAAGTGTATTTGTTAATTACAAAGTTAAAAGTTGCTCTATTAGGAGGGGGTTGGTATTGTTATTATTTTTGTTTGTTTGTTTTTTGTGTTTTATTTTGGTTACTTTCTGTTACTTTTGCATCTTAAAAGTGCTAAATAAATAACTTGAATGCAGTCTGTACTACCACATTACTACATAATAGGTGCTTCATGACATACATTTTGCATTATATATTAATATCAATGAAAAAGTCTTACCTATATCCATAAGAGGACACATTGGTTAAAACCTGTTCAATTTGGTAGAAAGAAGACAGTTTTATACAGACAGTAACAGTGCATCACGTGATCGCTGAAACATTATTTTCCAACATTATTTTTCCAACATTATTTTCCATTGGATTGAGTCCAAGGGACTCAATCTAACTGTCTGTGGTCTGAGGTGGAACAATTACTCAGATCTTATACTTAAGTAAAAGTAGAAGTACCAGAGTGTAGGAATACTCTGTTACAAATAAAAGTCCTGCATTCAAAAAGTTACTCAAGTAAAAGTAGATCAGTATTAGCATAAAAATATATTTAAAGTATGTAAAACTACTCATTCTGCAGATTGGTCCATTTCAGAATAATATATATGATGTGTTTTGTTTATAAGTATTGACCATTAAAGTGTTATCAAAGCTGGTAAAGGTGCAGCTAGTTGTAATGACTTTGTATACTGCAGAGTAGCTTGTGAATTTACTCCAGGTGTAACTAAAGTCTGATTTAAGAGCCGATTATATTTAATATCATTAAACTACATCTGTAACTAAATGTATTAAATATATGTAGAGGAGTAAAAGTACACTATTTACCTCTGAATTGTAGTGGGGTAGAAGTACAAAGTAGCAAAACATTGAAATACTCAAGTAAAGTACATTACCTCAAAATCGTACTTGAGTTAATGTTTCACCACTGTAAAACTCTTCTTCACAAAACTATATATCCTTTCTGCACCTGTTTACTTAATCCCTTTAACGTAGGCTACAGTGCAGTTTAAACTAACAGGACAACAACAACAACAAAAAGCAATACACATGAGACAAAAACAACCATTAAAAGTGAATTTAGCTGCAAACAACCAAATAAGCACATCACCGACTACTGTGCATATTATTTAATTTACCCAACAAGGATGAAACCCACCAGGGCTATAGCGATGTAGTTGGTTTGATAGTAAAGCAGGTTGCTGACCACCCTGTTGCCCCATCTCGTCAGGTCCTTCCCGTCCGGTTTGCAGAACCTCTCCGAGTCGGGGAAGAAGTCTTCCCAGGATCTGAGCGGAGTCACCTCCACTTTAGCCATTTGCTGCCAGCTCCGTGTACTGATCTGACAGGACTTCATCACAAGCCGTGAAGTCACCAAAGCAACACAATGAACTCTCGCGAGAAGTTGTAGACAGCAAGCTATTCTCGTCGGCGTTTTCTTTTTGTGTTATCTTTATTAATCAAGAATAATTTCCAAACCGTTAAGTCACTTATTTTCTGTCAATAACATTAAATGGTGCAAATAAAGAATAGATCATCGTTAACAACAAAGCAAGGGGCCTATCCAGTTACATAAATAAAGTCACTAAACCACCAAACTGAAATCTCGCGATCAGTTGTGGACAGCAAGCTGCTCTCGTCGGCGTGATAAAACCTCACGCTATTGGTCAGAAACCACCGAAGCACCTCCTGCTTAGCTGCATGCTCATGTCAGAGAAGGATATCATAAAGCGATACTAGCGTTGTCTGGTAATAACACTTTATATATGAGTGGCTCTCAGTTGTGTACGTTATGTTTGAAGCGTTAACATTGCCATGTTGTTTCTCATGTTCTCGCGATGTTTGAGCAGCTTTACAAGTCAGCCAGCCAGCGTGACTTCAATGACATGTAGCTAACAGTAAGCTAGCTCTCAAAAAGCTCTAAATAACAAACACTTGATAACTTATTTGTTATTTTTACAGATGTGGAGCAGGATATTGAAGCCTCGGGTGATTGGGAGAACAGCTTTCTATTGGAGGAGTCTCTTCACCATGCAGCTGAAGACCAGTGAGTTCAAGTCTCTGTTCAGTGAGGGGCTGAAGGGACTAGCAGGTGAGATGTGACAACAAACAGACCTCTAAACAGTGCTAATACAGATCTCTTGTCTTCAGTAAAGCAGGTAGTGAACTTTCACAATAGAACAAGTAATAAGGTTCAAAGAGGAACATATTAGATCAATAATATGTCTGTCAGATATTAGCTTATTGCAGATACTGTAAACAATATATTGGTGGTGGCTATAACAACTCTTGCAGTACAGAACTATAGGAAAATACAAGTTTGAGACTCATATTATATTAGATAAGATATACTTTAATTCATCCCAACTTGGGACATTGTTTTGTCACAGTAGTAGAAAGTTAAAAGCAATTACACATGAGATGTAAAGCTAGCTTCAGTAAAGCTAGGTAGTGAACTTTCCGAATTTAAGCAGAACTAGTCAGATCCATAAGGGTGTCCATGATCCGATTTTTCACAACTTCATTTGGTGATAAATAAAAACATGGACATGGTGAAATAATTAGGGTATTAATATGTCTAGCAGATGTAAGCTCATTGCAAATACTTAGGGTATCTCAGTTGTGGCTTTAACAACTCTTACAGTACAGGAGTAGTGTGTAGATAAAGACATGTGCGAGACTTATTCGAAATACTGTCTCTGTGAAGAGGATTAACTTATGAAACATAATAGTATTTTGGTGGAACTGTATTAATCTGATTTGAGTATTGCTCTTCATTAAAAACATATGGTACTAGGCCTGATACAAATGAAAGGCAAACAGTCAAAATCGACACAGGAGAGGCCAACATTGTCTGATGTGCTCACCTTGTTTGAACATTTCACCCTAATACGGGTCAAATAGGATTTATGTGTTTGGTAAACTAGAACTTCATACATATGTTAAGCCTGAAGAACATTTCAAAAGCTGTTCTGCAAGCAACAATAATCATATATGAAGTAAAAAGCAATAGGCATATAAGACTAATGGGCAAAGTGAAAACTGCAGTCACAACAAAAACATTTTAGTTTTCTCAGGTTTTGCCTTTCGAGTTTAATTCAAGCTAGTGCAATTGTTTGTGTGCCCTGACACACATCCTCTGTAAAGTCTCCCTCTAAGTGTGTGTTTGTTGTTTCCAGAGTTGTTTGGGAAGCACCAGCATGAGCTGAGGATCGCTGGCGGCGCGGTGCGGGACCTGCTGTCTGGGAAGCGGCCTGACGATGTGGACTTTGCCACCACAGCAACTCCAGAGGAGATGAAGCAAATGTTCCAGAAAGCTGGCATCAGGATGATCAACAACAAAGGAGAGAAACATGGGACCATTACAGCAAGAGTAAGAGGCATGCAGGATGTACCGTAATTTTCGGACTATAAGGCGCACCTGAATATAAGCCGCAGCAGCGGCATACCACTCTCGGTTCCACTTTTACTTTTGCGCGCTACCTGTCTCACTCTTTTCCGGCCTCCAGCTTTTCCTGCTGGAACCCGCCGCTTAAAGGTGGGGGTCCGCGGACCGGCCATACGGCCCGGCATAGAGTTAAAGGTGTTGGCCGTTAGCTGTAAAAATCCATAGATTAGCCGCACCGTTATATAAACCGCAGCGTCGAAAAATAGGGAAAAAGGCGCGGTTTATAGTCCGAAAATTACGGTAACTGTATCCTGCTTTTCAATTAGTTCCATTTCTGCTTTCAAGCTGCTGTAAACACTAATTAAACTATTTGCCAAGTCCTTTACTTTTGCAGAACATTAGCTTAACTTAAAAGTACTTAAGCCCATTACATAATCATATGTATTAAATGATTGGATTATGACTATTGATGCATTTATGTATTCATCAAAGCTGGTAAATGTGGAGCAAAATAGAATTACTTGATATGCTGTTGCTGCTGGATTACTTAACCTTTTAATAATATAACAGTTTTTGGATGAATAGAAGAGTCACTGTTCTCATAGCATTTGCTGATTGTGACACAACATATTTCTTTTTTTCCTTTTAAAATAATTTGTATTTATATACTTAGTCTGTAACAGATGTGATTCGCTCAGAATACAAACTCAGGTTTTTTTTACATAAGGGAAATCACAACAAAGAATAAAAAAACAAATGAAAATGTATTAAAAAGTATATTGAAATGTAAAGCTGATTACAGAGCACTGATATGCAGAGGGGACCTAGATATGATCTCATTATGTCTCCCAGTCGCTTCTATTCATATTCATCGAAGGTCGAGCACATTGCTGAATTTATAAATAACCATTCATACACGCATACCCAGCTATACCCATATTCATATGCATACATACTTACTTGAATACAAATACATATATACAAATGTACAAACATGGGCAGACTCACAATCAGCAGGTAAGCAGAACTGAAAAGAACCAGGAAAGGAAAACATGCTCAGGGTTTGGGCCCTCATTCAAAAAAGAGCATTAAAGTTGTATTTTAGTTTTTGCAATATTCTATCAATTTTCTCCATCTATTATCAGCTATGTGTTTTGGTTACTCATTGTATATGTTTTCCTTTCCACATTAGACACTTGCCCTCTGAAATACTGCTAACCTTCATCTAAGAGAGTGGCTTTGACTTCAGAATGAGGCCATATTTACACGTCTCCAGGCATCATTCTTATTTTGCCTTTTTTAATCATCGGTGTTTTGTTAATCGGTTTCGCTCCCAGCTACACAATGAGAACTTCGAGGTGACCACGTTGCGGGTGGATGTTCAGACGGATGGACGTCACGCAGAGGTGGAGTTCACCACGGACTGGCAGAAAGACTCTGAGCGCAGAGACCTCACCATCAACTCCATGTTTTTAGGTATTTGTGTTTGTTTTCCGCTGAATTAAAGGACTTGTGTTTGGTATTAGTTCACAAGACATTGTCACCGATTAATTATACTTGTCAGAAGTTTATGATGTGTTTTCTTTACTTTACTCTCTCACAGGGCTTGATGGCACATTATACGACTATTTCCAAGGATACGAAGACCTGAAGGAGCGCAAAGTCCGCTTTGTTGGCAGCGCTGAACAAAGAATCCAAGAGGACTACTTGAGAATACTGCGCTATTTCAGGTGGGCTGTCTCTATTTCCCTTTAACCTTGTGTTAGGGAAATATCACTCGTCACCGGCTTGAGCTTCAATAACAGGATACATGTATTTATTATTCTTGCAAGAATGGAAGTAGTCTTAACATACAGAGCATTTGGTACAACTAGTTCCTGAACAGTGTCCTTCACATGCTTTTTGTTGTCATGTGTACTCTGATATTGGAAGAGTGCATTCAGTATTTTCCCAACACCTTAAAAGGAAAATGTAATACATTAGCAGAGAATCTCTTATATGTATATGTTATCCCTCATCTCACTTTGAACTAAAATAGCCAATGAAAGAAAGAAGAAATTCATCATTTGTATTTGTTTGACGTACAAGAACCTCAACCTCCAGTCTTTTATT